CCCCAAAACCCCAAAACCCCAAAACCCCAAAACCCCAAAGGACTTTAGTTTCATTGAATGAATAATAAATATTTATTAATTACAGTCAAGGTCTTTCTAAAATTCCTGTCATGGGAACTCTAGGCAGGAATCGGCTGGAATGAATAAATGATCACACTCTGGTTTATAAGTTTGCAAATTTTTAGCACAAGAGATTGCATTATTGGTTCATATTTAGCATTCTAGCATCAGAGTACGACCTGTCTATTAGGAGGCCAGGCTTCTCATTTGAGTGCTGACAGCAATGAAGATTGTTCGTAGAGCTAATACCTCTTTGGGAGTTCATTCATCCAGTGTTTAAATTTGCAAGTTGTTTGAAAGAGTTGGACCCTTGGAGATTTTTCTTACTTTTTCTCCTCTGGATAATATTATCGAGTTCATTTGAGACTTTTTTCCTCTCATGAGACATGTCCAGAACCTTGCCAAATGCAAGGTTCATGTTTCTAACATTTTCTTTATTAGAAAGGTCGTAGGCTTTGTTAGTAATCTTTAGTTGAGCCATTTCCATACTCTGTTGTCCTATCAATAATTTCTGGTCTTCTATGACCTTCTGGAGAGAAGCATTTTTATTCTCTTCCTTCAGAAGAGCCTGCTTTAAGTCATTGATGTCTTTATAATAATTCTCAGCTTGCTGTTTGGCAAATAAAATATCTTTATTGTTCTGCTTAAGGAGTTGGTATAAATCTATATTCTCTGTTTTAAACCCTTTAAGGCTCTTTTCAAGGTCCTTCGTCTGCATTGTCATGTCATTTAGTGAGATTACGAGGTCATCTCGCTCTCTTTCAACCATTTTCCTTCTATAAATTTCTGTCTCTAATTTCTCTATATAAAATTAGATCCTGATTTTGAAGATACCCGTCAAGAAAAATTCGTAGTGGTAAAATTCTAGTTAATTTTTGAATAATTTACTGAAAATATTGATAAATTTTGATAAGAGATTACCTTCAAGTTGATTTATTTTGTCAGCAAGCATACTTGCATCATGACGATTTCTGTTGATTACGCTTGCATAAATAGGGTTACTTAGAGGGTCTTCAATGTAATCATTAAAAGACACTTTCTTGGTACTCTTCTTCCGTCAACACCGCTTTGGCTCTTTAGAGTTAGACCTTTTCAGCCTTGAACTCCTCTTAGTACTTTTAGGCGTTGCTCTGCGTAAATATTTCGGTTCGTTCATCATGCTTCTTGATGTTTTACGAGTTTTAGGCATTCCTATAAGACATTATTGAGAAAGCTATGATACTTCTTCATATCATTTTAAGAATTATTTAAATTTCAACCCATAAGTTTGCAAATGGGGTTTTGGGGTTTTGGGGTTTTGGGGTTTTGGGG